CTGATGAAAACAGGGTGACCAGCTTCAGTACTTCCTTTACCTAAGGATAGAGTTTATAGGCTGGACAGGAAAAAAGTAGTTTGGCATCCTACTGACTTTTATTAGCCAAGTTACAAACAGATAACCCAAAGACCCAGATCCTGTTAGTAAAATATTTGTTATGTATTTATAACCTGGCCAGGTACAAAAAGGCTTTCCAGTGATCCAGTGATATGATAAAACTGAATTACAAATGTGGGTGAATAGAAAGAAGACACCAACACACCAAAAACATGACTCTAATATATAAAAATATGCATTCAATGCAAAGCTTGAATCATTTGCTGTTCTGACATATTTATTAAAAAAAAACCCTTGCTGTTCCAGTTGAGGTATGCATAGCAAATATTCAATATATCTTTTATATTGTTACAGCATTTTATATATTCATATGAAAACCTTTATAATAGCACTGCTACAAAAATGTTTAATGACAAAAATGTATGCTAGTTTCAGTCTATAGTTAAGCGTAATTATTTTAAGCATATATTAAATAAAATAGAGCTAACTTTACTTTAGAAACATAATCTTGATTTAAAATGTTGAAATTTATAACTTTTCAGAAAACACATCATAATGCTCTTACACGTCTAAAATATCCTACAGCACATAATCAAAACTGAAACACATCACCATCTTGCACCAAACCAGAATTAAAGTGTAATGTTTTCTATTTATCCCCTCTAGGAAAGCTGCATACAAGGATTGAAGAGCCAGGAGAGTGCCTCAGAAAGCCTGCCTATGGCAATGATGCTTGTCTTGCAATGCCAGAATCATTTCTAGAGCATGCCAATTTCATGGCATACTGATAAAGTCTTAGTAAAACCAAATTATTCCTAATACATTTTTTAGTATTGAAGGTGGGGCTGACTCTGCTAACTGATATGAAGCCAGGATGATCACATGAATGTGGGTGTGCTAAGCCCAAATGCTACCTATGTGTGAAAGCACTTTTGAGTATCTTAATTCTTTTTATGTTTTTGTCAATTTGCTCCAAGTCCTGGTTTATCTCTCAGCTTTCTGCTAACTTACATTATATTCAGCTTTCTCCTCTTAACCACTAAATTCTTCTGTACCTCAAGAAAGTCTTGAAATACCCCTTTCTTCCAAGAAGTTTCCCTTGACTTGTTGGAATAGTCCTTGAACCACCTCATTTGGGTATGGGGTTTTTATGTGCCTACCCTCAATTCTCTGAGCCATAAAAAAGCACTTACTTGTCCCTATTTTGCTTAAGTTTTATTATCCTCTAGCACTTATAGGCTTCCCTGAGCCATGTCACTTGAAGGACAGCAGAAAGTATATTTGGCTGGGAGGAAGAACTGGCCATGGTTAAATTAAAGGGCAATGAAGCCAGACAACTCCGAGTGTGACACATCCTGCTCTTACCAGCCTTGTAGTCTTGAAGTCACGAATTTCTCTCTTAGGTCCTGATTTCCTCATCTGTGAAATGGACATAATACCTACTAGCTCATTAGGTTGTCATAACACTATTGGGAAGGCTAAATGAGATAATTTGGTATAATGTCTAGCATCTGGTAAGCCCCCAACAAGTAGAGAATTAGGTGGACAGCTGATAAATGCTTTCTGACAATGATTAGGCAAATATAAGGTAAACTAAAATTTAAGTATGTATTTTGTGTGTTAAAACTATATATATAAAAGTGATACAACTAATGAAAATGCTGACATAAAGATGCTTAGGGGAAAAAATGACATCTAAGTTATATCTTGTATTAAAGACATTTTTTTTTTTTTTGAGAATCCAACCTAATGTCTTATTTTTTATTTATTTATTTATTTATTTATTTCAACGTTTATTTATTTTTGGGACAGAGAGAGACAGAGCATGAATGGGGAGGGCGCAGAGAGGAGACACAGAATGAAATAGGCTCCAGGCTCTGAGCCATCAGCCCAGAGCCTGAAGGGGCTCAACTCCTACGGACCCCAATCGTGACCTGGCTGAAGTCGGACGCTTAACCGACGCGACCACTCATCAGAAATTGGTGTTTCTTATTTTTTAATATAAAATTTATTGTCAAATTGGTTTCCATACAACACCCAGTGTTCATCCCAACAGGAGCCCTCCTCAATGCCCATCACCCACTTTCCCCTCCCCCCCATCCCCCCATCAATCCTCAGTTTGTTCTCAGTTTTTAAATGTCTCTTATGGTTTGGCTCCTTCCCTCTCTCTCTCTCTTTTTTTTTCCTTCCCCTCCTCCATGGTCTTAAGTTTCTCAGGATCCACAGAAGAGTGAAAACATGTGGTGTCTGTCTTCCTCTGTATGACTTATTTCACTTAGCATCACACTCTCCAGTTCCAATCACACGTTGTTACAAAGGGCCATATTTCATTCTTTCTCATTGCCACGTAGTATTCCATTGTGTATATAAACCACAATTTCTTTATCCATTCATCAGTTGATGGACATTTGGGCTCTTTCCATAACTTGGCTATTATTTGAAAAGTGCTATATAAACATTGGGGTAAAGGGTGCCCCCTACAGCATCAGCACTCCTGTATCCTTCCGGCAAATTCTAGTAGTGCTTTATTGCTGTGTCAGAGGGTAGGACCTTTTTATACTTTTTGGAAACTCCGTTTTCAGAATGGCTGCACCAGTTTGCATTCCCACCAACAGTGCAAGAGGGTTCCCGTGTCTCCACATGCTCACCAGCATCTATAGTCTCATTTGTTCATTTTAGCCACTCTGACTGGCATGAGGTGATATCTCAGTGTGGTTTTGATTTGTATTTTCCTAATGAGGAGTGACGTTGAGCATCTTTTCATGTGCCTGTTGGCCATCTGGATGTCTTTTTTAGAGAAGTGTCTATTCATGTTTTCTGCCCATTTCTTCACTGGATTATTTGTTTTTCGGGTGTGGAGTTTGGTAAGTTCTTTACAGATTTTGGATACTAGCCCTTTGTCCAGTATGTTCTTTATTGGATTAATGTTCTGTACTAGATATTTAAAATAACACAAACATTCAGGCTTGCAGATTTGTAATTTAGTTCATAATCACGTTAAATATAATAGTTACCAGGCTTAGGAGAGAGAATATTCTGTATATTTCTTAGTAAATTTTATGGAGCAAATTTGTAGAAATTAAACTTTTACTTCCAGTTAGTATGATTTCCCCCATACACCAAATGAACCAACATAACAACACTGAATTATTTTAAATTTTTTTAATGTTCATTTATTTTGGAGAAAGAGAGCGAGAGAAAGAGAAAGAGAAAGATGGAGTGTGAACAGGAAAGGTGCAGAGAGAGAGGGAGACATGGAACCTGAAGCATGCTCCAGGCTCCGAGCTGTCAGCACAGAGCCTGATGAGGGGCTTGAACTCATGAACTGCCAGATCATGACCTGAGCCGAACTCAGACTGAGCCACACAGAAGCCCCAGCACTGACTTATTTTAAATGATACTGTACTTGGCTATACTGTACTCTAAAATTACTTGTATTAGTGTGGATCCTGAGAAACTTAAGACCATGGGGGAGGGGAAGGAAAAAAAATGGTTAGAGAGGGAGGGAGCCAAAACATAAGAGACTCCTAAAAACTGAGAACAAACTGAGGGTTTATGGGGGGTGGAAGGGTGGGGTGGGTGGGTGATGGGTATTGAGGAGGGCACCTGTTGGGATGATCACTGGGTGTTGTATGGAAACCAATTTGACAATAAATTTCATAATAAAAAAAATTACTTTTATTAGTAAATATATTAATTTCCACATTAAAAAAGGGGACTCTGCGACATCCACAGAAAAATTTGAGAACCCTGACATACAGCCTGCAGGTAAGAGAATTACTCAGTTTTCTGAAGCAACTGGTATGATGCAGCTAGGTAGGGGAAGCTGACTTTGAAAGAGGTCATGGTGCCCTGCACCTATTCTGGTAAACGAAGTCAACATCGAATGTAGGACAAATGGCACGAGGTGCATCAGCAGTTCCTACTGCCTGGTAACAGAGGAACATCTTTAAATCTTCAGAAAACATAGACTCTGCCAGAGCAGTGTTCTTTTAGTTACTGAGCAAGATGCTTCAAAGGGTAAGGAGCAGTGGAGAGAAAAGACATTACCAGAGGGGGAAGGAGTCAATAGCAGTGGGCAGGAATGCCAACTGTCACCAGGGGACCTGGCTTGTTCTTTAGGAGGCAGTGAAGGCTGTGGCTATTCCCACCAGCACCTACTGGGGTATCCAAGCTCCACCGCAGTAACAACGGGGTCCTCAATGACAGGCAACACATTGACATGAAAGGACACATTAAATTATGAGTGAATGCAACAAAGAAAGGCTACACACTGAAAGGTGGTTAATATTTATTAGCGCAGTGAGAAATAAAAATTAGGCAGAAAAATACAAAGTTAACTCATGGACATCTGGGCACAAATAATCTACCCCAAATATAACATTTTCTTAAGCAGACGGCAAATTTTCTAAAAATCCACTTGAGTTAGGAGAGTGAGGTATTTGTATTTTTAAGTACAGATGTACAGTTTAGGACAGTTAAAGTTCCAAAGATGTCTAAATATAACTTTCTAAATCTCTTCTTACCAATGTCTCCAGATGCCTTGGAAGCTAGAGACACTAAAGTCTGGTATATGAGACACTGAAGAATGCCTTTGTTACATCATATGCCATCTTGAAGCACTCTCTGGAAAGGTATCTCTTCCTGTAGCATTAATCATGCAACATCTAGCTAAGAATATATATATTTAAAGGTATTTTAAAGCCATACAGGGCCTAATGTAATAAAAATGACAAAACAAATTACTGCTCGGGCATTTCAAACAAGGTCATTTTGGTTGAAATAAAACATATACCAACGTCTTTCTAAGCTACCAATTTGGGGAAAAGAGACAGAGATTGCAAACCTAATGCTTTATATGCTAATACCTGTAGCGCACTTAACAAAGTAATAATAATTTATTACTTGTTATTTTTAGACTGCCCTTACTGTGGAGGTATTTACGTTTTCATCATAGTTGAAGAAGCAGCTTGGAAACAGGTGAGCTGCAAATGCATGCTACTCTTGAACTTGTTCAGCAGCTCTTCCAGTAACCTGCAAGGAGGAGAGGCTATTTTACAACCTGGCAGAGTGAAGGTTGCCTAGCAACATAAGAAAACATTCGGGGGAGCCAACTGCCTAGTTTTAGCTTCTACTTTTGAAAAGTTATTTACATATGGATTCTTAACTCAATAACAGAAGTAAATTAATCAAAGAAGCTAATCAAAAGGAATACACACACACACACCTGTATATTTATATATAAAAATCTCCCTCCTGTCTCCTTTCCCTAGATTAGATTTCTCCCCTAAAACACATTAATGTTTGCACCTGCATTTTTTTTTAAATTCACTTAAAAACTATATGCACTAAAATGTACTCTTTTTGGCATACAGTTCTATGAATGTTAATGAACACATATTAGCAACCTAATAACTCCCATAATTGGGCACAGAATAGTTCCATCACCTTCCAAATTCTCTCGTGTTGCCCCTTTGTGGCCACCTTTCTCTTCATCCTGACCCCTCACCAACTAACAGTCTATTGTCTGTTCCTCCTATTTTGCAGTTTTGTCTTTAATAAATATTAGAGAGTGGTAAACTCAGGTGGTGAATTAAGCACCAGAAGAGTAAGGGCTAGTTCTAATTCCACTGGGTAAATCATTCTACTACTTGATAATCAATTTCTTTAACTGGTTTGATGTATAATTTTAGGGCCAGAAATCTTAGAGTGCATTTGGTTCAGAAGAAGCAACCAAGAAGTGCGTTTAATGAGATTGGGGTCAACAGATTATTTCATGGGTTTAACAATGCTCAAAATTGTCTCCATGTGACATTTTCCTCCCATTTTCCCAGACTCATGTGTTCTCTCTGCCTTCTGAGTTTCTATAACATTGACCTATGCAAAATTACAGAGCTTACACCAAGGTTTTCATGTCTATAGACTGATCAGCCAAATGCAAAGGCAGGTGGACTTCAGTTATGGTTAGTGAAGGAACAAAGACCTACATTTTGTCTCAGGTAATAATTTCCTGTTTTATGAGTAGCAAAGTTTAAACTCTGACCAAGACCATTAACATAGTATTACTGAAACATATACAACTTTTTTATGTCATGTGTACAAATTTACTTTCTATTGCTGAGCTACTCAAAAGAAAAAAATCATCAAGTGCTGCATTTTATCATGCTGTCCTTTTTACATTTCTCTAAGAATTATCTTCTTAAAAATGTAAGGCAATAATACAGTTTACTGAGTGAGTCAAAATAAACTTTCTTAAAATGTTTTCTGTATTAGTCACTTAAAGCAAGAAAGGAACTAATTTCTGAACTGTCATAAACCCAGGGGAAAGGTTTTATCTTATTCTGTCACTTCAGAGACAAGCCAGGTACAGCATACTATCAAAGGCTATTAAGTACAAATCATTATCTATACAAAGAGTACTTTTAGGTAACAAAATCTCATTCAACACATCTTAACTGGCCCTTGAAAACAGTATATAGTACTTACTTTTTATCTGCTCCACTTGAGAGCTGAGGCAGAGCTTCCAAAGCCTGTTTAAAACTAGACCTGGAACACAGAGAAGCAAAATTTAAGTTGAAAAATTTCATATTTCTATGGGGAATTAAGAGCATCATTAAAAATTCTTAAGCATATCTTAAATATTAAGAAACCAGTATAAGCTAGTGAAGCATGTAAAAATATGAGAAAAAGTAAAAGTGAAAAACAATAGAAAAAGTAAAAGTAAAAGTTGAGGGTACAGGGTATAGTTCCCACACAGAGGCCTTGTAGGAGTAGGGTCAAAAACTCAACTATGAAATGAAACAGAAAAGCTAAAAGAGACTGATTTTTACAAAAGATGCTACTTTAATGAGGGCTTAATGTGGACATGTTTAATTTTTAAAAAGTCTTTTCAAAACAAAACTGAAGTGTTAAGCAACTGGTAAGAAAGGAAGGAAACTAAGTAGAAATAGGGATGGTCTTGTGACAGATTATACAAATGGGGACATTTACAGTATTGACATGTACAGGGCCTGATTAACAGCCAATCTCTTACAATAACTAAACATGGTCTCTGGCATTTAGTTATTATTATATTTAAAATTTGTAGAATAAGTAGAGATTGACTGATTGATTTTAATTCAACATCACTTCTTTTCATAAAAAACAAAAAGTACAAATTAAAAAAACACCAACTTGGTAAGCTTAACTATTTAAAACAGAAAGTACCAAAAAAGTTTCTGCATCAAATAAAAAGCATTTTAGGGGAAATTATTTGGTAGTAACTTGTACTTGTCACTAAGTAATACTTTTTAACTTCTTATCTCTTCTTCTTTTATAACTTGTTGACCATGGTAAAGAAATTAATTTTTCTTGACTTTAAGGTGGTTTTTAATTTTGTTATTATAAAAACAGATCCTCATCACTGTACCAGTAAATATACTTTTGAGCAATGTTTCTCCTATTTGGGGCAAATATCACAGTAACAAATAGACTACAAAGTCCCAACAGATTATAAAAACTGGTATTGGGAAGCTCCAGTTGTTCTTGGTTAAGGCAAGGGATGGGTTACAGCTTGTGGGGACACCTAGCTCCCTTTCCAAAATGACTTTCCTCTTCCCTGATGTAGAGAGGAGGGTCTGCTGTTATCACCTTGTTTCCTGTAAACCTTTTCTCACTCAATCAAAAAAATGTAATGCTATTATTTCTTTATTTTTACATTATGACAATAATGATGATGATGAAGAGGATACCATTAATTATTTGTAATGCACCAATAGTTTAGAAGGTAACTTGGCATATTTTTTCATTTGATTCCCCTAAAACTTTGCCTAGAAAGTATTTATTATCTTTCTTTTATAGATGAGGCAGGCGCTAAAAGGTTAAATTAGTAGGAATAAATATCTAGGTACTTACACAAAGCATGCACCCACATCAAATTTGGACTGAGTGCCCTCTATCATCTATTATTTAACACTTTGTGTAGAAAAATGATGGCTGGGAAAAGGAATCATTAAATAACTAACATGGGAACCATCCAGAAATGTCTTCTGGTCAGCCATCATGAATAAGAATAAGAAGCTAAGTTCAATTCATTAGGAAAAACTTTTTAAATGTCCTTAAACATTTTATTTGTATACTACTTGTATTCTCAGGCATATTAACAATATAACCCAGTTTTTCCTAAGTAATATTGCCAATGGAATAAACAATTTTGTATAGGCAAGTAGTTACTGATGTTTCAGTTCACCTACTGATATTTCGATGATAGGAAATCCTGACTTTCATTCAAAACAGCTAAAAATTATCATCAAATTTCCACTACAAAAATTTTCAGAGAAACCACAAGGCTTCCTCTTATGCTGATATTTACAATCTTTAAATTGTCCCTCAGAGTCTGCTATGAATAGAGTAAGACTCAATTCTCATTTTCTCATTTAAAAAAAAATTTTTTTTTTCAACATTTATTTATTTTTTGCGACAGAGAGAGACAGAGCATGAACGGGGGAGGGGCAGAGAGAGAGGGAGACACAGAATCGGAAACAGGCTCCAGGCTCTGAGCCATCAGCCCAGAGCCTGACGCGGGGCTCGAACTCCCGGACCGCGAGATCGTGACCTGGCTGAAGTCGGACGCTTAACCGACTGCGCCACCCAGGAGCCCCTTATTTTCTCATTTTAAAAAGAAGTATATAATGCTCTGCTATATCACTTATGAGACTGAGATTTATCTTAGTGAATGAAAAACATAAAATCATACTACATATTTCTTCTTTTATATTATGCTACAAAGAACCAGTATTAGGAGTCATTGGCTTATTATGCTTTTTAGGTAAAAATTAATCAAATATAAACTTTATCACATCGCAATCATGAGCACTCACTCTGATTAGTTATCTTTACAAAGATAAGCTTTATTTTTAGTGACGCACTCATAACAAGAATTTTAAGCATCTCACTTGCTTTCAGGTGTCAGGTGAACAGCCACAGTATCCCTCAAAGCACAGATTTCAAGCCGTGCCTGAAGATGAGAAAAGGACAAGTGACAATATGGAACTGTATCAATTATTAAATTGAAACAAGTGATGTGGGGACAGTCTCTAGACTGCTTATTACTGCAGGGACAGGGTTGACAGAAGGTAAAACTGCCATGTAGTTTTACCCCCCACCTGCCATGGTGACTGTTAGTTATGAACAGATTTTCTAAAACACTCCACAGAAATCAGGTATGATAAAATATTATTTTACTGAAAATTAAGTTAGAGTCAAGTATGCCTGTGTGAAGGCAGAGAGCCAGATACCTTATTATAAAAAGTTCAACCTGTCCAGGTGTTTTCCCACAATCTGTATTTTCTACCTAACTAGTAATTTTTCCTTTAGTCTGCTTGTTGAGAGGAAGCAAAATTTGAAACACTATCCCTGGATTATAACCCCACACCACAGATTTAAGGAAGTGGATCAGTTTACTTCCTTACACCTATGCTCTTTTGGGCACACTGACTTTAATCTCAAAAACTAAGATACAGCTCTGCAGATTCAATGCAATGTCTATTAAAACCACAGCCGGCTTTTGTTTGTTTGGTGGTTGTTTCTTTTACAAAAACTGACAGGCTGATCCAAAACAGACAAAACCATTTTGAAAAAAGAATACACAAATAGAGAAACACTTTCTGATATCAAAACTTACTATAAACCTACAATATTTAAGATAGTGTGGCACTGTTATATGGGCAGAAATACAGATCAGTAGACTAGGAGTGAGTGTCCAGAAAAAAACCCTTAACATTTATGATCAATGGATTCTGACAAGGGTGCTGAGACTATTCAATGGGGGAAGGAACACGTTCTTCAACAAATAGTGCTGGGAAAACTGGATAGCCACATGCAAACGATTGAACCTGGATCCCTTTCTTAACACAAAGATGAACTCAAAATGGATCACAGACATAATGGAAGGGATAAAATTCTGAAACACATAGAAGAGAGCAGGAGTAAGTCTTTGTAATGTTAGGATAGGCAAGCCTTCTTAGAAACGATATCAAAAGTGTAAGCAATGAAGAAGGAGGGGAAGATGGCAGTGGAGTAAGAGTACCCTGGGCTCACCTCATCCTACGAATACAACTAGGTAACTATCAAATTATCCTACGTACCCCAGAAATTGACCTGAAGACTGGCAAGACAAACTCTAAAAATAAAGGTAGAGAAGAGGCCACATTGAAGAAGATAGGAAGTATGCAGATGTGGTTTGAGAGAGAAACAGATTGTGGCCACCATGGTCACAGAGAAGGACAAGAAACAGACTAGCATATAGGAGAGTGCACAAGGAAAATAAATTCCCATAGCAATTGGCTTGGAAAGTGAGAGGGCCCAAATTTCGTGAGCTCTTGGAATAGGCAAAGCTTACAACCTAAGTTTTGTAAAAGGTCAGCAGGAGTTGGGAGATGGTAGCAGTGTATGAAGACTCTAGGCTCACCTTATCACATGAATACAGCTAGATAACTACCAAATCATCTTAAATACCCCAGAAACTGACCTAAAGACTGACGGAAAAAACTCCACAATTAAAGGTAGAGAAGAGGCCACATGCAAAAGGGCAGGAAGTGCAAAGATGTGGTGTTGAAGACATATCACGGCAGCTGCAGTGGGGAGGGAGCCACAGTCACAGAGAAGGGCAAGAGATAGACATAAGGAAAATAAATCCCCATTGCAATTGGAAAAGAAAGTGAGAGGGGCCGAATATTGTTAAGTTCTTGCAACCAACAGGGTGGAAAGTCTAGAGTTTTAAACAATGGACTTGGCTGGGACAGAGTCCACAGGGCACTGTGCTGCTCTTAGAGAGAAGGAAGGAAACAACCTTGACACAGCATGGAAACAGTGATCTGAAAAGCACCTGGGGCACACAGTGGGGAGGCTATTTGCTCATCATGAAGCGTGTCCCAGGAGACAGTGTTCACAAAGAGACCCGCTCAAGGGAACAAAGGAACTGGCAGGCACCATTTCCCTCCCTTGCCCGTCAGCATAAGCACAGGACCACCTGCGGGAACCAGCACAGCACCACACTCACTACCTAACTTGCTTCATCAAGCCCTGTCCCCCAAGCTCCTGTGGAACTGCCCTTCCCAGTCACACTTAGCTCAGTGATGGCATGGTAGGTCCCCTCCCCCAACACTGGCCCCAAAACCTGCCAACACAATGTGTCTCCAATCAGGAGTTTTGCACAGCCTCAGTTCTGGCAGTGATGGTGACAGGTGTCATATTATAAGCAGACCAGAGCACACCTAGTTAAAATGTGCCACATGCAGGCCAGGGGCCACACATTGCCCACAATAGGCAAAGAGCCACTTGCAACAACTGGCCTGAAAGATAAAGTGGCCAGAACAAAATAGCAGAGCACACGCAGCACACACTGGAGACACTCCTGGAAGCACCAGGCCCTAGAAAACAGGAGACACTACCCAGCAGGGCACTGACCTCTTCGAGGTAAGGCCATTACTCTCAAGAACAGGACCATAGCTGATTTTCCTAACACAGAAAAAGGCACAGCGACTTAGGAAAAATTAAAAGACAGAAATCTGTCTCATGAAAGAATAGGACAAGGCCACAGCAAAACATAAGTAACATTCCTGATGGAGTATTTAAAGCAATGATCATAAAGATACTCCCTGGACTTGAGAAAAATGGAAGGCATCAGTGAGACCCTTAAAATGAAGATAAAAAAAGAACCAATAAGAGATGAAGAGTGCAATAAATGAGATTAGAAACATGCTAGATGGAATGAATAGCAGGCTGGAAGAAGCAGAGGAATGAATTAATGACCTAGAAGACAGAGTAATGAAAAGTAATCAAGGTAAACAAAAAGAGAAAAAGAAGTATGCAAAATAAGAACAGACTTAGGAAACTGAGTCACTCCATCAAACATAATAACATTTATATTATAGGAAATCAAGAAGAAGAAGAGAGAGAAAAAAGGGGACAGAAAATTTATTTAAAGAAATAGTAGTTGAAAACTTCCCTAATCTAGGGAAGGAAACAGATATCCAGATCCAGGAGGCCCAGAGATTCCCCAACAAATTCAACAAAAGCAGACCCATACCAAGATATATTGTAATTAAATTGGCAAAATACAGTGATAAAGAAAAAAAAAATTTAAAGCATCAAGACAAAAGAAGACAGCAACATACAAGGGAAACTCCATAAAGCTAGCAGGGAATTTTTCAGCAGAAGCACTGCAAGCCAGAAGGCAGTGGCATGATATATTCAAAGTGCTGAATGGGAAAAATCTGCAGCCAACAATATTCCATCCAGAAAGGCTATCATTTAGAACAGAAGAAAAATAGAGGTTCCCAGAGTTTGTGACCACTAAACCAGCCATGCAAGAAATAGGAGACTCTGAGTGGAAAGGAAAGACCAAAAATTACAGTATGAAGATAGGAAACATAAGAGTGGCAAAAAGGAATATTTCTGTAAAAAAAATCAGTCAATGAACCATAAAATAAAAGGATTTGACATATGACACCATATACCTAAAGTGTGGGGAGGAGAAAAGAGTGGGTTCAAACTTAAACAACCATCAACTGAACATAGACTTTTATATGCACAAGATGTTACACACAAACCCAACGGTAACCACAGATCAAAAACCACTAATAAATTTGCAAAGAATAAAGAGAAAGAAATCCAATGATATCACTAAAGAAAACCAGAAAATCATGAAAGAAAGAAAGATCAGAGAAAATCTTCAGAAGACAACCACAAAACATGAAATAACATGTCAATAAATACATATCTATCAGTGATTACTCTGAATGTAAATGGACTAAATGCTCCAATCAGAAACACTGGGTGACTGAATGGAAACAAAACAAAACAAAACAAACAAGATCCTGCTGTCTACGGAGACTAGAGAGACTCATTTTAGATCTAAGGATACATGCAGATTGAAAGTGAGAGGATGGAGAAACATCTATCATTCATATGGATGTCAAAAAAAAGTGTCAGCATAGCAATACTTATACCAGACAAAAATAGACTTTAAGACAAAGACTGTAACAAGGGACAAAGAAGGATAGTATATAATAATAGAGGAGACAATCCAACAAGAAGATGTAACAATTCTATATATTTATGCACCCAATATGGGAGAAACCAAATACATATAACAGTTAATAACAAAATAAAAGAACTAATTGATAATGATACAGTAACAGTAGAAGACTTTAACATCTCATTTACATCAAATGGATAGGTTATCTAAATAGAAAATCAACAAGGAAACAATGATACACTGGACCACATGGATTTACAGATATATTCAGAACATTCTCTCCTAAAACAGCAGAGTACACATTCTTCTCAAGTGCACATGGAAGATTCTCCAGAATAGATCACATATTAGCCCACAAAACAAGCCTCAACAAATTCATAAAGATCAAAGTCATATGATGCATTTTTTCTGATCACAATGGTATGAAACTATAAGTCAACTACAAGAAAAAATCTGGAAATAACACAAATATATGGTGTTAAATAACATTCTATTAAACAATGAATGAGTCAACCAGGGTCAAAGAAGAAATAATAAAGTACATATAACAAAATTAAAATGAAAACACAACAAGCCAAAACCTGTGGAATGCAGAAAAAGCAGTCATTAACAGTGAAGTATACAACATTACAGGCTTACCTCAGGAAGCAAGAAAAATCTCAAATAGCCTAAATATACCTAAAGGAGCTAGAAAAAGAACAACAAACAAAACTGAAAACCGGCAGAAAATGGGAATTAATAAAGATTAGAGTAGAAATGAATGATATAGAAACTTAAAAAAAAAAAAAAGAACAGATCAATGAAACAGGAATTGGTCTTTTGGGAAAAAAAAATCAATAAAATTGATAAACCTCTAGCCAGACTTATCAAAAAAAAAAGACTCAAAAAAAATCACAAATGAGTGAGAAGAAATAACAACCAACAGCACAGAAGTACAATTATAAGGGAATATGAAAAACTCTATGCCAACAAATTGT